AATGTAAAAAATTATAAGGAAAGTTTGTAGCTAGAGGAGTAAACAAGCCAAACAAGATAGCAGTGATCAAATCAGGGCTGGTATAAATTTAATGTTTCTGTGATTATTCAGTGTTTTTAAGGATATAAACAATTATAGTGAACTGCATTAACTCTTTGTCTCTGAGCAGCTGATATGTCGGTGCACTCGTTTTCCTACTTGGATAAACAGTCGATATATCGGTTTGTAGGTCTTGTTCTTTTTCACAATCAATCCCACATTTTGAATGCCTCGTATATTCAGTATAAAACTAGAACTACTTCTGTTAATGAAATATCTAATCAGAGTGCCAATTTGATTGGTGAAAGACATATTTTCAGTGATTTACATGAGTGTTTTGAACCCCTATTATGAAACAAAGAAAACTACCACACCCACTACTTCTGGTAGACCTCGTCACTATACTTCTAAGGAAGCTAGAAAGTTGAGCTAGGAAAATGACTTTATTCCCAGTGATCTTGATGGTGATTTTGAAAGTGAGAAGACTGACTCAGATAGATCTGTTGAAAGTGAGAGAGAGAGAGAGGAGTGTCCTGTGGCAGGCGTTGCAGGTGTGAGTACAGGTAAAGGCAAGGGAAAGACTAGTGGTGCTACTATGAGGAAAAGAAAAGCAGTGTCTGGATCTAGACCTAACAAGAGGGAGAGGATAGTTGTAGGAGTAGGAGGAGATTGTGAGAATGGTGAAGATGAAGTAGCATTGAGAGTAGTTAAAGAAGGAGAGACTGACATGAACTTTTCATTCCATGAGCCACAACGAAACGTGAAGCTGGATTTGGATGAAAGCCATTCACCACTGGATTTCCTTAAAGCTTTTCTTGACAAAGAAACTGTGGCCACTTTGATTTCTAGCATCAATGCATATACAGCAAAGGTTTTGGAGAAAAACAAGCTTCCAACAAAATGATGATCATTTTCCTTGTGGATGCCAGTTACTTATTATGAATGGATGAAGTTTACAGAAGCTTTGCTTGCTGTGGGTTTTGACCTTTAACTCAAGATCAGGGGCTACTGGTCCACTACTGGATATCTACACACCCATCAGTAGGTGGGGTGGTTTTTGACAAAGGCAAAAAAGCCATGTGTGTTTGTATTAACCAAAGCTGTGATGTAAACCATTCAAAAGGAAGCAGGAGCAAACACCATCTTAAAGCCAAAGGTTGTGGATTACTACAACATATCCATGAATGGCTGTGATCACATGGACCAGATGGTGTGATGTTATAGTATGCACAACTGTAAAACCTAGAAGTGGTGGAAGAAAGTATACTACTGGATTATCAAAGTGACTCAAGTAAATGCTCACATCTTGTACAAAAGAGACAGAAAGTGAGCCTGCAAGTTTTCAAACAAAACTTCTTTGATGGCCTAACAAACGAAGCTGTAGAAGTGACACCAAAAAAAAAAACACCAAGGAATTCAAAATGTGAGAAGAAAGGGAATGAAATGGAGAAGGTGGTTGGAGCCAGACATCTTGTGAACTATGAAGAAAAAGATTGAGACTGTGTGCATTGCAGTGGCTCTGGAAAATGTTGTCGTTCCAGTTACGTTTGCACAGGATGCACAGACAGACCACATCTGTATCCGAAGAAGTGCTTTATAACAATCAAAACAACGAGTAGCACCAGCCTAAACATGATGATTGCTGTACATAGACTGTATATATTTGTAAAATGCTGTTTGATTTTCTTCATTTATTACTTCCCTTTGATGTAATCCATACTAATGAACTATTCTTCAATAAAATGCACTTTATTGATGGTTATAAGGACAATTATGAACATACATTTTACCAATCTTCATCTATCTGTCATTTTAGAGCTCTTGCAGTGGATATTTACCATGGAGGGCAGTGCTAGGACTTGGTAAGTTATGCTTGTGTGAATATTTCTTCATCTTGTCGATCTTCCTACCATTCTTTCACAGTCTAAAATTAGTTTATCTTTCTCAGTCATATTTTTAGTAGAATATGAATCTACATAAATTTCCCTTTACTATGATGTATAATACTACATATATTTTGATAACCAAGCATGCCTTGATTGTCTTGCAAAAAAAACATCCTCCAATACACTTTTTTTGTGGCCATTTTTGCTCCATCCAAAACCTGTATTTTCTTGTGGGATAAAGAAATAATGTGCAGTGACATGGCTAAAAGATGTGAAAATTTATCCTAATATGGAATTTATTTCATAGTTCTACAGTTCAAACAATAGTTAGTTATCTGGCACAACAACATTACCAACATGTTTACATCTATGAAAGAAGGGCAAGTTGAATTCACCTGGAAGTAAACCGAGATGACTAAAGGAAGTACCTGTTTTACTGCTATCTATTTTTATGAGTGGGGTTAAAATATCACTGGCCTCCTCCTCAATATTAATTATGTTCCACCACTGGTTTTGTAAATATGGTTTTCTTTAAAAAGCAAAATCTTATTGTGGTATCTTTTAAGATAACTAAAAATAATTTTCACACTTATGCCTTTGTTCTATCATGTAAAAACTTTATTTAAAAATATGCAAGCTGGATCAAAGACAAATGTTTACATTTTTCATCAATATGAAAGTTTATCACATTTAAATGAAATAGTTTATATGTACTTATTTTTTAAATTACAATAAACGAGCATTTTAAAAATTCTTGCATGATCAAGGCTAAGATACCTTGCCTCTTTATTTAATAATAAACCATGCTTCATCACACCTAGACAGTCTGTACACTAGTGCCACAATATTAGTTTTGTACTTGCAGCAATAAAAATACTTCAGTTATATCTGTTTATTTATTGAAATTATCTTATTTTCTTTGTATGTTTGACAGTTTTCAAACTCCAGGTTGATTTTCCTTGAATTTGCCTGTGGTCTTTCACATACTGAATGCATTAATATTAAATAATTTTCAAAATGTTTTGGAAACATTTGTTTCTATAATTTTTGCTAATCTCTTGTTAAGATCATATATAAGCTTTACTAACTTTTGCTAATAGGATAAAAAAATACTTTGGCCCAAAATTATTAGTATTGTGATATGATAATTCAATCACTTCAATATAGAATTTTAGCCATAAATACATTTTATCAAAAGATTATCGTGAAGGAATCTTAACAGATTTTTTTTGTAATGTGAATAATGAAACAATGGGCAAATATTTTTATGATGATGTTGTTGTAAGCTGTATTTTTGATATTTTAATTTAAATGTGTTTTCTGGAGAGCACATGATGCAATACCTAGAAAGTCCACAAAAGTTGAGGCATGAGTAAAAACTAGAAATCTCGAGCAAAATATAAAAACAAGGATACATTATAAGAACAAGATTCAATAAATTAATGAGTGATCAGTCAATTAGCTAATGAATGATTAAGTTCAGTGCTAGTGGTGAGAGTTATTGCTTCCAATCAGTCATTCAGTGAGTTAGTATGTTTGTACGAGTTGATTAGCAACGAAGTTTTGTTGAAAAGTTTTTGAGTCAGTTGGGTATACATTATCACAGTTTCTATTGAAATGTTGTTTGTAAACATAGCCTGTATCAAATGTTATTGAACAAATATATGAATGTTATCATTACGTGGACTGACTTGGTATTATTTTTAACCAAATAATCCAAAGAAACCCACCAATTGATAGAACACTTTACAATACTGGTGTCAGAAGACAGGTTATTTTAGTGAAAATAAAATAGAAATTTCACTAAACTTCAAGATGACAACCCGGATGTGAAGCATGACCAAAATTTTGTTGAAAATAATGACACTGTGGAAAGAAGAATAACCTGAAGGAAATAGAGCATTAAAAGGAGAGAGAGACAGAATTTAAATGAGAACAAAAATAAAAGGACAGACAATTGTAATATCAAAACAAAGATTAAAAGAACAAAAAGGATAAGACAAGAAATTAAAGGAATGGGACAAAATTAAAAGAAGACCAAGAAGAAATTTATAGAAAATTAAAAGATCAAGAGGTAAGAGATGGGTTAGAAGAAAAAGATATAGTATTTAAAGAAGAATTAAGAACAAAAATAAAATTGAAGACAAAATCCACGATACTATTGGAAATGTACACAGGGATTACCACAACAAGTTTTGAAGTAAGAAAAGGCAACGAAGAAATTCACTCAGATCAGGGACAGAACTTTGAATAAACATTGTTTACAGAAATGTGTCAGATCCTTGAATTAAAAAAGACCAGGACAACAACTTTTTATCCATCTTCTGATGACATAATTGAGCACGGATACAACTGTACACTTTCAAATCAGTTAGTCATGCATGTGGATGAACATCAGAAAACATGGGATCAAGATCTACCACTGCTACTTATGTATTACCGCACGACAGTACATGAAGCTACAAGTAACACACCATCGTCACTAATGTTTGGGAGAGAAAGTATAA